CGTCAACCCTACAACAACACTAACTCCCGAAAATCACATGTCACTTGCCAACTTTGTGGTTACACGGGTCACATTATGGCAACTTGTCAATGGTAGCTTGCTCTTGTTGGTTTTTCCCCTTATGGTTTCCTCCTCTTCTACATATCTTGGTCAAAATTGGCACCCCAACTTTGGGGTAGCAAACCATATCACACATGATCTCTAGAATCTATCTATATATGATGAATATCAAGGCAACAATTAGATTACAGTTGGTAATGGGGAAGATTTGCAAATCTCTCACGTTGGCTCTTCTGTTTTAAACACTTCTACTAGTTCTTTTCCATTATGTCACATTCTTCACGTTCCCCATATTACAAAGAACTTGATTTCTGTAAGCCAATTTTGTCGTGAGAGTAATGCCTCTTTTGAATTTAATGCCCATGGTTTTCGTGTTAAGGATCTTATGTGGAGAACACTATTTCAAGGACCACTCAGTAACGGGCTCTATCAACTACAACCATCACCTAGTACCCGCATCAATAATGGAGGTTGTGCTCTCATTGGTGAACGTACTACTGCTACAATTTGGCATCATAGACTCGGCCATCCGAGTCCAAAAATAACAAATCATATTATTTCTAAGTTTCATCTTCCCATCTCCAATAAGAAGTTGCATTTCTGTAACTCGTGTAAGCTTGGAAAGTGTCACTGGCTACCATTCACATCCACTTCATCTATTGTATCAATACCATTAGAGATTATTTACTCAGATGTTTGGGGTCTTTCTCCCCGTCATTCTTCTTCTGGTCATCGGTATTACTTGTAATTTGTTGATGGTTATAGCAAGTACTCTTGGATTTTTCCTTTATATTCCAAGTCTGAAGTTCCCCATGTTTTTCTACAATTCAAAGCCAATATTGAAAATAAATTAAATTACAAAATCAAGAGCCTTCACATTGAATACAAGCCCTTAGCATCATTTCTTCAATAGGTCGGCATCATTCATCGCCTCACATGTCCTCACACTCTAGAAAAAAATGGAGTTTCATAGCATCGCCACTGCCACATAGTTGAAACCGGCTTAACTCTTCTTGCCAACTCATCAATACCCAAATCCTATTGGGTTGAATCCTTTGATGTTGTTGTTTACTTGATTAATCTCATTCCAACTCCTACATTGAACATCCTCTTCCACCCCACCTACTTCTCCTTCTACATCACCTTTGTTGCCCCTACCATCAGCCCACATTCAGGCCCATGACAACTCCTGTGACCAACTTGTTTCTACCCTTTCCTTTAATCCACAAGTTGAGCCCACACATACCATGCTTAGTAGATCCAAATGTGGAATAGTTAAACCTGACCCTAAGTATGCCATGCTTACCAGCTCACTTGAAGAAACCAAACCTACATGCTACTTTCATGCTCACAAGGACCTGCCATGGATGCTTGCTATGGCCGAGGAATATCAAGCTCTTATAAGAAATGGTACATGGACCCTAGTTCCACCCCCATGAACGTGATATAGTTGGCAACAAATGAGTGTTCAAGATCAAACATAAGGCTGATGGTATGATTGATAGGTTCAAAGCCCGTTTGGTAGCTAAAGGCTACAATCAAGAGGCCAGGCTTAATTACGATGAAACATTCAGTGTAGTGGTTAAACCCACCACCATTAGAGTTGTTCTTTCTATTACTGTCTCACTTGGTTGGGAAACTCGTCAACTTGATGTTTCCAATGCCTTTCTCTATGACCATTTAGAAAGAAGAGATTTACATGAGACAACCCATTGGCTTTGTGGATCCAAAACATCCCACCTATGTTTGTAAACTCCACCAATCCTTATATGGGCTTAAACAAGTTCCAAGAGCTTGGTTCAAGCATCTTCGCGACTATCTTCTCACTATTGGATTTCAAGACTCAAAGGATGATTCCTCCTTATTTTTTAGATGTACATCATCTGACACAACATTCTTTCTTGTCTACATGGTTGATATCTTGATCACGGGCTCTAAGCCTTCCATAATTCAGCATGTCATCATTGACCTCACTACTCATTTTTCTCTCAAAGACCTTGGGAAGCCCCACTATTTCTTAGGCATTGAAATGCATCACATGAAGAATGACTTACACTCGTCTCAACCCAAGTACATATGAAATTTGTTCCTTCATACAAAAATGCATGAATGCAAGCCCACTAATACTCCAATGGCAACCTCTACCAAACCCACTTCTTTTTCTGTACTCCTATTCCCAACATAACTGAATATAGAAGCATTGTTGGGGCCTTACAATATGTGACCTTCACACGACCTCAAAGCCACTATTGACCATGGCCTTTTCATTCGGTCAGTCAAGAAGTCATTCTCTCTTGAAGCCTTCTCTGATGCTGATTGGGTTAGCTACATTGAAGATCGCCGATCACATGGTGGGTTTTGTATCTATCTTGGTTTGAACTTAGTTTCTTGGAGCTTCTGTAAACAACAAACTGTTTCACGGTCCAGTACAGAATCATAATACAGGAGTATCGCCACAATTGTTGTTGAATTTTCATGGGTACAAATGCTTCTCACTGTGTTGAGCTTGTCCTCTTTATCACCACCAACACTTTGTTGTGATAACCTAGGAGTTGCATATCTTTTGACGAATCTAGTTTCCATGCATGAACTAAACACATAGAACTCAATATCCTATTTGTTTATGAAAAAGTGGCTAATAATTCACTTCGAGTGAGGTTTCTCTCTACCCATGATCTGATCAATAGTTTTACCAAACCTCTCCTTGGTCCTAGGTTTCATTTTCTTCATGACAAGCTCACCGTTTGTCCCTTTACGACTCACTTGAGGGGGGCTATTGAGGAAACTGTTATGGAAAGGCAAGACAAAACCAATACATATCGTCTTGCATGACTCTCACCATTCATGAAAGTTCTCGGTGTTTCCTAATCTTTTCGTACAGGTATTCAATGTAATCTATAAATTTACTATAAATCACTCAATCAATATACGAGGAAAACTTTCTGTTATCTCTGTTTTTTTTTTGACATTTTTGATTATCATTTTTTTGACCTTTTATTACAAATAACAAAGGGTTAAGTACACTGCAAATCCAACGCAGAATTCTGAATGACAGCCCCCCATATAAACCGCATCCTATGGATGAATTTGACATCAATTGAAAGTTAAAATTCATCCCCTGTACTGTGGGGTTAAAAAATTCTAACATGAACTGATCAGTCATTCTCCCAATAACAAATTAATAACCAGTCAAGTCACAAGACTTTATACAAGTGAGTGAAATCTCTCTCTATCTCTCTCCAGCTTTGTATAGAAGTTAAATAAGTTTCAGTCATTTTGATCAATTTATTAAATTCAGATATGAATTTGGATGTATGCATATCTGATGTATTAATTTGCAGCACCATTATAGTTATTTTTAAATTATCAAGTCAAATATTTTGAGAAAAAAAGGCAAATCAGCAATCACTAAAAACTAGCCACTCGGAAGCCCGAAATTGAAACACACTTTCCTTTGATGCAATTCAAAACGCATCAACTACAAAGCACAGCGGTAGCGGCAGCAACCAACGGCTTTCCGCTTTCCCCACTGCCCCAGTGCCGGTGGGCAGTGGCTCGCTCAGTTCAATATGTTCTAACGCATCGGTGTTGAACTTGAGACCTCATCAGTCATCAAATAAAGAAGAAAAGTTGAAATTTGGCAGTGACATTTAAGAGGCACAAGCACGCCCATTATAACGCTCGGTTCCCGGGGCTCAAGAGATTCTACAGGCGTGGGGTCAAAGGCTGGCAAATCACTCTCCCCCATCCCCACCATCGTAATATGTAATTTTGCCAACCCTTTGTACATTTCAAATTCCATTTCCATCTTATTTTACATTTCTTTTAGTTATCTCCTTCCCAACTTCCATGTTGTGGTCTTTTCTTTCATTCTTTTTTCTTATTTCATATCTCAATGTTGTCTTCATCTACTCCCCCCCATGTGTGTAACATTAACAAGTCTTCTTCTTCTTCTTCATCTACCTTGTTGCTGGTTGGCTGAAAACAATACAAATTAAATAAATGTTGTCGTTTCTGGTTTCAATTTCAGTGCTTAATTTGTTTGTTCATTTGACAGTTTCCATTCTCCTTCTATTCTTCTATTAATTCCTCTATTCCTCTCTCTCTCTCTCTCCTGTTGAATTTAATGATTCATCCAAAACCCAAATTAAAATACAAATGAAACAGCTCATCAGTCATCCCTCTGAATCAATTCCATTTTTTTTTATTATTATTACTACTCCATTACTATAATACAGAAGACAAGCATGACCCGCCATAAACACAATATAAATGCTGGTGCTGCTTCACATGCATCAGATGGGGACCAGTCATCCGATTGCTCCCCACCTTACAGATCTACTAATTCAAAAACAGCCAATTTGGATGGGAGAGAACGATGGAGCCTCCTCGCTCATCATGATAGTATTCTTAACTATTTAGTATTACAGAAACTTTTTTTTTTTTTTTGCTCTAATTAGCACCTTACCTTGTGCCACTGCCCAATATAATCAAGCAATTAATATTACCAAGTAACTATAATTAAAGCATATGTAATAACTATATATATCTTTTGGTGGGTGAGTTCATGTTGATCAAGGATGGACTGAAAACGCTTTCACCACATCCAACGGTCAGAATTTGGCACATCTACGCCAACTAAATTTGGGGTTTCTTCTTTTTCGATGAACCTATCAAGTGGGTGATTACAAATGCTTAGAAGAACATTCATGTATGCTATCAAAGTCTTCTCACTTATTTATTAGTTATCAATGGATTTTGTCTTGTGTTAAAATGAACTTTGTTGTTTTTCCAGTATGGATGCTTCTCTAGTTCTCTCTCTCTCTCTCTCTGATGACTGATGAGAAGGGGGCCAAAATCTACGTGGCTCATTTTATACCATTAAGGGCAATTTGGTCATTCCAAACTATTAAGTAGAGAAGTCTGGTCCAACTCCAACATGCTTATTTGCTTAAACCATGGGGCATCGGCTATTCTCTCTTCTTTTCAACTTTCACCACCCATGTATGTAAATGATTGAAAAACTTGCCTAAATACCGCCTGAGAAAGTTTCTTCAGGTGAATACAGACACAGACTCTACTCGTCGTCGTTAATGGCGACTGGTTGGGTCAAATCATTGCAATGCAAATCAAAAGCTTTCGAAGATGTCTACCACCCAAACCCCAAAAACCTTAACCACCTTCTCCCCGGTTCCAGTTGCAGAAAGAGCGTCCAAAACCTCAAAGACGTAGTCGAAACCACCAAGAAGAAGCACAGAAAAACAAATCCACCGTCGCCTGTACAACCCAGTTCGAAACAAACGCGACCAGCAAAAAATGACAACGGTTCGTACACAACGAACCGAGTCCGACGCTCTACCTCATCCCGATATGCACGAACACCGGACCCTTTCTTTCCTTCCCTGACAGAGCTGACCGAAGAACACCCATCCCGCAACATTGTAGAGATAATCTTCCACACGAGTTGGTCACCTAAGGCATTTTCGGGTCGAATCGAGATGATCTTCAAGGTTCAAAACCTGCCCAAGACTCTTTCAAGGTTTGAAGATTACAGAGAGGTTGTGAAAGCTCGTGCTAGTTCCCGTAGCGCGGGCAGCAACAGCAGCGGCAATAGCATGGAGGAGGATGTGAGATGCATCGCAGACGGTAACGAAATGATGAGATTTTACTGCTTGGGCCCTACCTCCGGTGGACTCTATGACGCCAGTGGTATGTGCCTGTTTTCCGGGAAAGAAACGGCAATTTGTACGTTTTCCGGCAGCGGTGGGGCGCACGAGTGCGCCGGTGGAGGGAAGGGCAGGAGAGCTATGTTGGTATGCCGAGTCATTGCGGGTAGAGTATGCAAGCGACTTGGACTTGAGTCGTTGTTGGAAGGCCGAGTTGGATTTGACTCGGTAAGTGGGGAAAATGGTGAGCTGCTCGTATTTGATTCCAGGGCGGTATTGCCTTGTTTTCTGATCATCTATAAACTTTAAAAGACAAAAAAATACAAGAAAAATGTTCTTGCATTTCTTAACTCTATCTTTCTTTCTCTCTCTCTTTGTTTTAATCGTTGGATTGTAAGAAGATTGAGTTGATAAATGCTTCAACATTCAACATTTGGTACTTCACTATTTTACTTTGTATCTCTCTCTCTCTCTCTCTGTGTGTATATCTGGACATCTGGTTTTCCGTTTTGTTTGTTATGTTTGGCCTTTGAATAGTGTCTTAAGGCCTGTAGTTTATCAAAGCCAGAACCATGAATACATGATATCCATGTATATCTCTATCCAAAGCGGATTTCCTGCCCACTGGGGTGGGGCCACTACTCTCTGTCTCCTTCAACTTCAAATTACATATTTTTAGTTCCTCTTTTATTTTAAGTTTGGTGAGAAGTAAGGTAAATGGTTATGTTTTTTTTTATTTATCAGTAAGTAAATGGCTGAATTTGTTGCCATCTCTTCTTCATATTTTCCTTGAACTCAGTTTACGGTCTACCCTGCAACCTGCTGCCAACCGCTAGCAATAAAGTAAGAAGAGTGGTTAAACAAAAAGGGAAGTGGGAAAGATGTTGTTACCATATACGGTTCCTATTTGCTTTTGAAAAGTGAAACATGTTTGGAGCATTTGGGAGGAGAAAACGAAGTGACAAATTAGTCGTTATTTTTAGAGGTCCCACACTCTTGGGAAAAAGCACCATACAGATACAGGTCATGACTTAAATTTCCCTTGTTGGGAGAAAGAATGGTCAATGGTCATTATAATTGCAGTGGACACACACAACTTGGGAAAACAGAATTGGGTGTGTCACCTACTATTGTTACAACTTGGTGCCTTGCTTAATAATGAGTTTTATCCCACCCAACATGGGTTTCATATTTTTGGTCAGATGATTGATGATTCTTTTGGTCCATCCAAAAGCCAAGAATCCATGTCATATGTTTGATTTGTGGATGACTCAGTGGCTGATATGATCAGTAGGCACCCCTGCTAGTAAGTTCAGGATTAAATTAAATCAATCAAGGGGCTACCAAACCCCCATCTTAATACCAAATAGGCTTTTCAGAGGTCTTCACCATCATTTGAATTTCATTGCACAACTGGAGTTCTGCTACAAACCACACCTAAGCACCTTCAGATCAGCTTGCCAGTCACGCAGGCAGCTAGTTGGGCAACAACGTTAGTGCTAATTGCTGTGTACGTAGCTCAACTACAGTGATAAGAAAAAGAGGCATGTGCATGATTGCCTGCCTCCCTCAATGCATTTGACATATGTACCAATTAACCATTTTGGGTACGGGGATGTATGGATATTTTGATCCTTCCATGAAATGATATATTAAATCACCCCTTAGGTTTAGGAAATTGACTGATTTAATCAATTATTAAAAACCGTGAAAATACTTTAAGACATTTTATAAGGGATATAGTTTTAAAAAATTTGCCCAATGTTTTATTAATATGGTCTTCTAGACTTCTATCACAACACAATAGTGTTATTTGATGAATAGAGAAAGAATGAAAGATATCAATGGTCTCTCATTGCAGCAACCAACTGTCTCCTAAATCCTCACCACGATTCGATTAGTTCATATTCATCATGGTGTTGGTGGGAGGCCGCCTTTCAACTTTCACCATTGCATTGCAGGTGCTGCCCAACAGCCCACTCACTGGTGGGAAGTGGGAACTCTGGTTGATATCAGAAGCTCTGTTCCCTTCTTATTACCAAACCTTTCCTACTCTGACACCTATGATTTTGGGAGTGGGAGAAGCTGTAGCGTGTAGGTCCCCCGCACCCTGTACAACAGTACAAGGAAGTGAAGAAAATTAAAGAAAGCGATCGATGATCGATCTGATAAAAAACCAATTAATAATGAGGTGCAAAGGTGATAACAGCAACGGGTGTTTCAACATTTTTACTTTTCTACTTTCGGCTTTCAACTAGTGTCATATCAATTCGGATTTCGCGTGTATTTGTGGGGCGGAGATGTGAGGAAGGTACTACCGTATGCCATGATTCACGCAAGGACTAAAGACTAGTTTGGGTGTGTAATTGAATGTGATTAGGGACTAGGGCATTCTCTCATTAATTGCCACTTGTACATTTGGGTCTGGTTTTATGAAATGGACTAGTATTATGATACTCGCTGGCCCACCTATCACTTCATTACAACCGTTGGATTAATTGAGAGTGACCATATATAGCCCTAATAAAGGAGACCAATTCAAGGATCATGATGAATGAATGTGTTGGTAAGCCATGAAAATGCTGTAGGTCAGAGGGAACAAATGTGAAGCATTTCAATACCTTGTGTCTATTAGAGAGAGAGAGATGAGATGAACCCAATAGCAATAGCAAGGGGTCGATTGTATTCAAAATTCAAATTAAAGATCAACTTTGTACAAATAATTGTACTTTGTAATTTGTATCATCATGAACCCTCTGAGACACCAATCCGGTATGTAATCTTTGGCATGAAGATGCATAGGACTTTTCCATACATTTTGACTTGCGTACGATAACAAACAAGTCAAAGACAAAATATATTCTATATTGTCCACGTTGGAGTTTTCCATCAGTCCCCTGGATATTGCACAAAGCCATCCATCCATCCATCTATAACTGCATTGAAGACACTGAAAGTAAATGGGGAGACACTGTGATAATTAGACTAGACTCCAGAAGGAAGGAGAAGGCCCCCAAAAGGGGCTCCATCATTTTACTGTAGCTACTCCTACTACTTGTTTTATCACACAAACTTCAATAATGGCCATTACTCATGCAATTTTCTCCATTTCCAGTTTCTTCGACATGATAGGGTCAAGAATGGAGATTGTTTTGACAGAGTGGGATGAGTACGGAGATTAATAAGAATCCCCTATTGGGGTCGAGGTCAGGGATGGGGAATGAGGTCCCTACCCTACCTCAACCTCAATTATATGTATATATATGATATTATTTATATATAAAATATATTTAAAGCATTATTTATATTTTAAAATTTTTATTTATTTTAGATAAATTTATTCTTTAAAAAATACTATTATCTAAAAAAAACTGGAGATTTGGGTCCCCACAGGAAACCCGTCCCCATTGGAAATCGGAGATGGAGGACAACTTTTATTCCTGACAGGGATTAGGGATGGGGAATATGATCCCCTCCCTGTTGCCATTCCCACCAACGAGAACCATTTTATATTGTTTCCAGACCAATCTATTTTTGCCGTCCACCACCCAAAAAGGGAAAAGAGAATTTCTATTTACAGAAAAAAGAAAACAAGGAAGAATAAAAGCAGAAACCATTCATGGTTTGGTCAAATCCCCAGTCTTGTATACTGTCACTCGAGCCAAGATAAATCCTGGTAGATCCAAGGCCAGATCAGAGACCAATTTGAAGTTCAAACTTTAAAAGTATGCTCCAAATTGTCTCCATGCCTTTGTGTATAAAAAGGAATCAAGAAGACATGGATGTTGTTAGTGAGATGCTCAGAAGGCTTGAACATGACAATGATTTTGTATGGCATGAGAGAGAGAAAGAGAGTCCACAGTGATGATGAGATAGTTACCTTCAGTCCAAGGAATGAGAATAGTGAGTCCAATTCCAATACCTTATTGTAGCTAGAGATGGGAAAGAAAACTTGTTTTCAAGATTTGAGAAAAGGAATGACTACAATATAGTATCTCTTAATTTATGGGGAAAGGAAAGCTTACCTTTCTGCTTAATTTTCATAATTATTTTCACTGGGGAAGATGAGAGGTGTGATCTGGAGAATTTCCTTGTTCTCAGAAGAAACTAAGAAGGCGTTATTTATTTATATCGGCAGTTTTTGTTGATCATCAAACCAGAGAAAAAAAAAAACAGCTGTATTCTTCATGTCATACTTTTTTTTTTCAAATTTACTTGCATATATTTTATAAAGTAGGCAATCTGAACGATTTGAAATAGAACCTGCACCTATATTGCATCTCAGACTTAGAGGCTGCCTTTGGGATTTTTTTTTTTTTTTCACTTTGGAACCCATGAAATATTGGTCCTCACCTTGTGGACACTGATCTAAGGTGTAGGGATATTATTATCTTTTCCTTTTCTGAGTAAACCGCCGCATTTAAACTTTTCTTTTTAATTTAATAAGGTGGCCTGCTTTAAAGACCAAGCTATTATTTGACTCTATTTAACCAGAGAAAATATTTGACCAATTTTCCTTGTGCTAATGGAAATTTTCTTACTAAATGTTCCGCCAAGTTTTTCCCTTTAAATGAATGGATGAGCATTATTTTCTTCCTATTTTTCCCCTAAAATTCAGGCTGTCTTTAGTTCATTCTGCTCTTGGTTGTATGTAGAACTGCACGAAGAAACTCAAATCGTTTTCATAAAAAGACAACATCCCAGTAGGAACAACCAAACAACTGGGGCTCTCTCTCCTCAGCGGCAATGCATCGGATTTAACGAGGACCCATGTCGTGCTTGGAGTTCGGACACCATGATATCGCTTTCAAAAGGATCTTGAAGCTCTGCCACCATGATGACACTCAGACCAGGTTTCTCGATGTAGTTGAAGCAATTCTGATCAGCACTCATTCGAGATGTTCCAACTCCTCTTGGGCGCTGGGCCTCCATTTGGTCTTTTGTCCATATCATGATGATTGCCCATGCCAGGACTGACTCTAGCCCAGCCTGCAGCCTCAAACTCAATGATCTTCAGCCTGTCAAAGCTCGTGAAAACTTTGTTAAATTCGACCAAAGAGCCATTTATGTGGAACCCACCAAGTGCTGCTGGCTCTCAGTCATCAGTCATCACCTAGGATTCTAGAGTCTTATCGATCGAATAACCTGGTTAAGATTTACGTCACTCCATAACTTTTTGTAAGGTTTTGAGTTGGGCCCACCTGACCAACCGTTAGTTACAACAAGAAAGCAGCACCTAGTCCCACTCACAGTAGTGGGAAGTGGGAAGTGGGAACTCTGAATTCAGACCCGCCATACAAATCCAACGATTTCGTTACTCCACACAGGAAGCCAGCAGAGCAGTTATTTTATGATTTTATCAAATTATAAATGGATATTCTCATCGATTTGCTCGACCCCAATTGCCACTGCATGCTCTCACCATAACGAAACAGTAAGGAGAACATGAAAATGCATAAACAGGTCAAGAGCCCAACCACAGGCGAAAATTCATATGATGATGGAGCTTGCTTGGCATTTGGCAACAACCAACTGATAAGGTAAGGTAATTTGACAAGTACAACCTTGAGTCAAACCCACAGCAAAGCTGATTGCGCAATTGATACTGCACTTCCCATAGCGAATTGTGAATGCTCCTATTTGTCCACCGTTTCTCAATAATGAAAATTGAAGAAGACGATAAAAAGATCCAAAAGGAGAAAGAGGAGCTACATGAAAAATCACAATCAAAACTACAGCTAGTAATGGATTCCATACAACGGAACCACCAAGAATACCACTCTAATGTACACATCACCAACACCGCAGCTGCAACAGAGAAGCAAATGATATTGCCTCCATTAGTGGGATTCCACTAGTATGTATAATGGCTTACCGTTCAAGCGCTCACGACCCTGCACAAGCATAAAACCCAACATTCATGATTAGAAGCATTTATGCTTTTACCAGATAACATGCAAACATATCAAGAGATAATAGTGGTAGACCCATCACCCATCTTATGATGGTCAACTAGGGGATGTTTTTGTCAAAATTAACCTTGGCTATGTTTCCTGAGATCAGTGACAAACACTTCAGAGTAACAGTTGTTTTAGCAATTGTCAACCAAAACATTAATAATTCAGAGGGGAAAAAAACAAAATTCAGTCGGCATAAATTTTCTAACTGAAGCCATGGCATTTCTGGGTCCAATTATCCCAAGACGCCATGATTCATCACCTTTAGTTGAACTTGGAACCACCAAAATGCATGGTGCACTGACAATAAATTTACTTTCTAATGAACAATAATTAATCGCATCATTTATCAACAAATAACAAGAATTATCAGATTCAGATATTTGCAGCATGCTGGATCAACAGAGAGATTTCTCTGTCACGAGTTGCAGATCATAACAAGGACCCACCATTGACTGTGGACAAACTAAATTGGACCAAAAGAACCAGTCATACTAACAGCAGACCTCCCTTGTGAAAGGAATTTTTTTTTTTTTTTGATAAATGAAAGGAATATTAGTTTGAAGCAAGAAAGTTTATCTTCGGACAGAGGGCCACTGGGCCAGCATTTATTTTGCACAGAAAAACGTGCAACCCAACACAGATCTGGATGATTGAGACCCATCATAGAGATTTTTTTTTTATCGATAACAGTGAATTGTATTAAGATTATGAAAATTACAAAGCAAGGGAGCTAAACAATTTTAACTCCCGAATACAACCAGTGAACACCAAAAGTAAAGCAATTACAACACAGTCCAAAAAATAGAGTTTCTGTTCACCCATTGCCTAGCTAGACCATCTGCCAATGAGTTTGCACTTCTTTTTACCCATTCATTTAATTTCAATGTCCTTAGTCAGCCACTTAAATTTCCTCTTTTCGTTGTTGTAATTCCAGGGCCTAGAGTTATCCTCTTTTAGCCAGTTCACCACAACTTTAGAATCTCCTTCTAATCTTGCAATCTCCTTCCAGTTTCTTAGCAACTCATCAACTGGGAATTCTGCAAACAGGGCCAAAGTTTTCAACCAATGTATCACCCTAATATGGATGACTTCCAAAATTACTTCCAAGCTTCTCTCCTTTTCTGAAAAAATCTGTGAATTTCTCTCCTCCCAAACAGTCCAACAAACTGCAGCCCTAATACATCTCCACATAATCTTAGTCCTTTTTATTGGCCCCTCCAAAATTACTTCCAAGCTCCTCTCCTTTTCTGAAAAAAACCGTGAATATTTCCCAAACAGTCCAACAAACTGCAGCCTAATACATCTCCACATAATCTTAGTCCTTTTTATTGGCCCCTCCAAAATTACTTCCAAGCTCCTATCCTTTTCTGAAAAAAACCGTGAATATTTCCCAAACAGTCCAACAAACTGCAGCCCTAATACATCTCCACATAATCTTAGTCCTTTTTATTGGCCCCTCCAAAATTACTTCCAAGCTCCTATCCTTTTCTGAAAAAAACCGTGAATATTTCCCAAACAGTCCAACAAACTGCAGCCCTAATACATCTCCACATAATCTTTAGCCCCTTTTATTGGCCAGTTGGGCCAATGTTTTAAAAGCGAAAGGCGCAAGGGCCATTTTGCACCTGAGGCTTTTGAGGCAAGATGCACAATTTAAAAAAAAAAAGAAAAGCTAAAAAATCAAAAAAAATGTCAAAATTTTCAAAATAAATGCCAAAAAAATTCAAAAAATGCAAAAAAAAATCAAAAAATTATAAAACATAATATTAATAAAAATATAAACTTATGTTTTAAAAAACCTATTATTTAAAATTAAAATACATAAACATAATATGTAAAGCATATTCAAATGAGAATTTTAAAATGAAATCAAACATATAAAACATTTTCAAGCATATAAAACCCACAATACTATGAGCTGCCTTTGTGCCACGCCCCTCGAGGCAAGCCTAATCGAAGCTTCGAGAAGCCCCTATTTCGTAATGTTGTCCATTCATTCATCCTAATAAAATATCTTCTTAAAAGCAATTAAAACTATAAAATCATTATTTTTTGTGTGAAAACTAAGAATTTAAGACCCTAACATAGACTTGTTTGGGTTAGCCTCGAGGGGCGTGGCATGGGGGTCCGGGGCCCAGCCGCTAGACTCAAAAAAGGAAAAAGGCATCAAATTTTCAAAAGGTGCACGCCTAGGCGCACTAGGAGTGTGCCTAGGACCTGGGTGAGGTGCCTACCCTAAAATATTCCCTTTAAATCACTGAGTTGGGCATGGAAGTGAATAAGCTTTGCCCATTCAGGGGGGGGGGTCCACCTACACCCAAGCAAAGAAGTAAACCATTCCAAATGACTTTAATAAACTGACAGGAAATTAGTAAATGATATCCGAACTCACCATCAGCTTTACAGAGGGCACACTAGTGGGGAGACAAACAACTATTGGGTCTTTTTCTTTGAAGTAAATTTCCTGAATTAACTCTTTCCAGAAAGGCTTCCCAACAGAAACTCCCAACCTTTGGAGGTAATAGGATGACACCGCACCTCTTTAACAGGGAAGGACAATCCAATAGAAGAAGGTTGTATTAGGGCTTTAAAGAAAAAAGCACAAGTGAAAGACTCGAGAGAGTGAGTGTCCAAATTATATTATCTACCTTTGTTGGCTCTAGGAAGACCCCTTCAAGAATGGATAACAAGGATAAAATACAGTCTAACTCTGTGTCCTTGATTTCTCTTCTCAAACCCAAGTTCCATCCGAACCCAGAAGCTGAGTTAGAAGGTACAAGGAAGGAAGAAACCAGTTCATTTTTAAGTAAGGAGAGAGCAAAAAGACTCGGGAATTGGTCTTTTAAAGAATCTCCAACCCAAACATGTTCCCAAAAATTAATGAGGTTGTCTGAGTGCAAGTCATACCTGATCCATGGAGAGAACAAGGGCAAAATAGCTTGAATAGCTTTCTAGGGAGATGCTCTTGCAATCCTTGCCAAAATCCCAGAATCCCATCCATTGTTTGCAACCCCATGACTAATACCCATTATCTTCACCCAAAGCTTTTCTTTCTCCAATGAGAATATCCACATCCATTTCCCTAGTAGTGCCAAGTTCTTATTCCTTATGTTCCCAATACCTAAACCTCCTTCCCTCTTGCTCCTACACACCATCTCCCACCTAACTCTATGGTCCTTCTCCTCCCCTGGCTCCCAGAGAAAGTCTCTCATTAGTTTTTCCAATATGCTAGCCACCCTAACCGGAATCTTAAAGACTTACAAAAAGTAGACATGAAGGCTCGCTAATGTAGACCTAATTAAAGTGATTCTGCCCCCAAGACAAATAATTCTTCTTCCAAGTCGCAAGTCTCTTTTCAAACCTCTCCACAACCGAAACCCAAAACTCAAATTTCTGAGGATTATCTTCCAATGGCAAACCAAGGTAGTTTAAGGGCCAATTAGATATTGCACACTCAGACACCTCCCCCTCCCCCATATTAACTCCAACTATACAACTCTTTTCAAAATTCAGTTTTAAGGTTTGACATTTGCTCAAAGAGTTGTATAGTGAGCTTCAGGTTTCTGATCCTATTGAGATCCCCTCCTTCACAAGTGTCATTTGCAAATTGCAAGTGTCAGTGGTACATTTTCCCTTCCAACTCTCCAACCTCTTATTAAATCCCTAGAATCTGCTCTAGAAATTAATCTCCCCAAAACTTCTGCAACCAAAGTAAATAAGAAAGGGGAAAGGGGATCTCCTTGTCTAATCCCTCTCTAAGTTGGAAAGAAGTCTACCACTGTCTCGTTCACCAATATGGAGTAATGGTAGTTCCTGATGCAACCCATCACCCACTTGCACCAATTATCTCCAAACCCAAAGTTGGTCATCACCTCCAGTAGGAAAAACCAATAAACCAAGTCATAAGCTTTTTCCAAATCCAATTTGCAAACCACCCCTTTTTTCTTGGATCTCTTGAAATCCTCCTAACTCTCAGTTGCTATAAGTATCTGATCTATTATCTACCTCCCCCTTCACAAAACTCCTTGATTGTTTGCTATGATTATTAGGAGCACCTTCCTAATTCTAATGGACAGCACCTTGGTGATGATCTTATAAAGGTTGTTAACTAGGCTGATCAGCCTACAGTCCCTTGGGTGATTTGCATTTCTTTTCTTGGGAACCAAGGCAATGAATGTGGAATTTAGCCAAGGGTTAATCACTCCTCTAGAATGGAATTCATAAAAAACCAGCCTTAGGTCATCTTTTAATATCTCCCAATAATCTTTGATAAAAAACCATCGTAAAACCATATGGGCCTGGTGCCTTTGATCTATCCATAGAGAACACTACCTCCTTTATCTCTTCTAAGTCGAATTTCCTTTCCAACCATTCCCTATCCTCTAGTTGCAATGTTGGCCATTCCAACCCCTCAAGGGGTCTTCTAAAATTAGACCTAAAATGATCCACAAAGGCCCCTGCAATTTCTCTTTGATTGGAAATTGTTGCCCCTTCAATCTCCAAACTTGATATATAATTCCTTCTCCTTCTTCCACTTGCCACAGTAAGTAGAAACTTGGTATTCCTACCCCCCTCTTTCAGCCACTTACACCTTGACTTTTGTCTCTAACTTATTTCCTCCTAAAGAAGATAGTCCTCTAATTGTTTTCCCAATTTCCATCTTTGCGCCTTATCCTCTTCTGTAAGACAACCCCTCCCTTGCTATTCAGGACCTCAATTTGTGCAGTCACAATTTACTTCCTTTCCTCCAATCTCCCAAACTCTAAGATATTCCAATCCTTGATTCTAACTTTCAGATATTGGAGCTTTTTGTGAAACCGCATTCCACTCCATTCCACTATTGGATTGCTCTCTAACCACCATTCTTTGACTTTCTTAATGAATCCTGGGTGTCCTAACCACATGTTTTCAAATCTAAAAGAAGCAGAACCTACATTTCTCACCTCCTCCTTACAAATTATAATAGGCCAATGGTTGGATATCAACCTTGGAAGTGCTCTAGAATTCAAATTCCTTCAATGTTCTTCCCAGTCATTTGAAAATAAGAATTTGTCCAACTTAGAGCAAATCGGATTCACTTGGAGATTGGACCAAGTAAAACAAGTATGTGACAAATGGGATCTCTTTAAGTTCGTAAGCATCCACAAAGTGATTAAATTTCCTCATACTCGTGGTCGACCTCTGCCTAGGACTAGACCCATCATAGAGATTAACTAGAACAACAATGAACTTAAAATATAATCATAAAATTATACTTATCTAGATGTTCAAGAAAACTTTCAGTGGAACACAGAAATTCTCTGATCATGCTGATATTTGGCATATCCCCCCCCCCTTTTCCAATATGCAAAGTTAGAGCAGCTAGTCCATGATTGGTTCTCTGGCCAAGGGACATCATCATCTAATCCTTGTTCCAACTATATAGAGTTGGCTACATGAATCTTGTTTCACCATTCCATTCTGTTTAATGCCATGTCCACTGGTAATATTTTTTCTTTTTTTATAAGCATATCCGTTGTCAACTTGTAACAGGTTGCTTCTTCTCACAGGTGTTGTAGGTAGTTGTCCATGCACATGGCCAAACCATGGTTTTGAAAACCAGACCGGTGACCTAGGAACAGCTAAGGCAACTGGTTCCGTTTCACCAGAAAACTATTCCTGGGCCAAAAGCCGTTGACTTGGTTAGCAACCTGCTGACCCAGGCGGTCAAACCATTGATCCATTGATCCAGACAACGGTTTTTGGCCATTTTTATTTTACATATTTATTTTTTAAATCAGAACGGGCCATCCATTCAGACTGGATGGTCGGACCCATTTGACCTGGGAACTGGTGGCCAAAACGGTTCCATGTCCGGTCTAGTTTTTAAAACCTTGGGCCAAACCATCTTAGTCTACTATCTCTCATTTTATTTTTGACCCTAACCTTTCTAGTTTTTCCTCTCGTCTATGCATATGCATTTCTGCCACACTAAAAGTAAGAATGCATTGTACTAGGTATCTTTATAATATCCTCAAGAATGCAAATGTATGAATAGATCCTATATATAGAATGAAATGAACATGAGAATGCAATGAGAAAAAGAAAAAGTACATGATGTAATGACCTTAAGATCTGGTAATTCAATTACACATGCACATTCAACCACTTCAGCCCCAACACGTTCTGCAAAACAGTAAATTTCAACAAAGTATTAGCTTCCAGTTATAGCACAATAGAATAGATAAATCAATCACAGAAAAGAGGCAGAACATAAAGGCAATAGCAGGGAGAGTATGCTTGACCAAATTGATGATTCAGCCAAACATTTTTTTATTTTTGATAATTAGGTTCAGGCAAACAATTGTAAAAAATAAACAAATGAGAAAAACATCTCAAAAATCAAAATTATGAAAAAAATTACACAATGAATACAAAGAAGATCATAATCCAAGTAAAACATAGGCTGTCTAAGAACATAATATTTGCAAATTTCAATAGAAACTTTGCAGGGTTTGGAATTCTTTCAGGAATGCTACAGCAGCAGCAGCACCACCACAACCACCACCACCATTTGTAGTTTGCACTTCTAGTTGTGAGGACGAGGTAGAAAAAGACTTGTCACAATATGTGCATCTCTTGGATCATATGGATTCAGGCATTGTACATGATGAGATGACTAGAGTAAATGACTAGGTAGGAACTTCAGTTAGCTTAGATTAGATATAGATTGGGGATTCCATATGGGGATACAAAGTATAGTATCCTCCAATCACTACACACTTAGTGCAAATGTCTTTATGGATACTCCAGCAAAACAAGGGGTGGGAAGGGAACAAATGTTCTGGGCTATGTTGTAATTTGTGTTCTTGTTTTTTTCTTGGGGAGAGTTAAGAGATTTTTTCTCCCCACTGTTTCCTTTGTAATTTGACCTTATTCCATTAATGAAAGTTCTGTTGTTGATAAAAAAATCACTACGCACTTAATAATCACCATCCATTATAGAAGTTTGGAACCTAGAAATCAAAGAAAAAAAGAAATTGGAGTAATGAATTAAGCTTTTCAAAGTTCCAAATATCGGTACAATACGCCCTCTATTGAGCATATTGTACTGTTATCTTTTGGTCTCTGATACTAAACACAGGGAATCAGGAGGACATCTGACCACTTTTAAAGGTTAATACCCCTCCTAGAGATGTCCTGATTCAATACTTGGACCCACATTAATTTTTGATCCAGGTATATTTTTCATTTCAAAACACCCAATATGCAATTTTTGCATATCAAATGCATTGATACTGTTATAGAACAAAAAACCTACCATGAACCGTTCAACCTAAAAGTTTAAGCTGTTAGATGAAGTCCCTGAATTGGTTTTTATTCTCTAACACACCCCCTCATGTGAAAGTCTATTGGGCTTCAAGCGTTGACAAGCACAAACCCACCCATACCTTGTGCTAAAATTTAATAAATTATAACGGAGCTGCAAAGATCGAACAATAGATCACTTTGCCAAACAAGCTCTATACCATGTCAAGGAATCATTCAATCTACAAGCTTAAGTTATTAGGCATTTAGGTGAGGTCCCTGAATAGGTTTTTTATTCTCTAACATATACTTTGAACCATGCTTCTTCCGTAGTACTAATCTAACAATACATTGTTATGTTGACCAATATGAACTTAGATTTCAAGCTCAATTTCATATTTCACCAATTATATCAAATAAAATATTAAAGTTAAGTTTTTTATCAATATATTAATAATTAGTTTTAACTACTCATTATTGAAAGTGTAAAGAATAGTTTTATTTATAAGTGCAAAGAACAGTTATAATTATGCAGCAAGGAATACTAGAAGACAATTCATGCAACTCTTGGATTTCTTTGCCTCACAGACAACATGGGCCCCATAAAAAGATGTAGTTCAGCCTTCTAAAGCAATAATAGAGGACACAGTTGTGAAGGCATCATCTAGGCGACCAGGCGCCCTTGGTTGGGCACCTTGCCCAAACGCTAGCAACTAGGCGCCCTTCTAGGCTACTAGGTGCCCGCTTAGGCTACTAAGCACCCGCCTAGGTCACAAAAATGACTAGGCATAGTGACTTGTATAATATCATGTATATTGCTGTATCTTATTAATATGTATGTTATACTTTGTTTTAATGTTTTGCTATTGAAATTTAAAAGATCAAAAAGGGTTTTGAGGAGAGAGAAAGAAAGAAAGAATAGAAGCATAAAGAGGTTTTTTTTTGCTGTTCTCTCTATAATTAAATAAAACAGAAATTCCATCGTTGTTTTTTCTTCTATTATACTTTCCATTTTGAATATTTATCATATGAAGTTAATAACTTTCTTTAGATACTAATTAATATGAAATTACTCTATTAAATACTTATTATAGCAGTATTATTTTTTAAAATAATGAAATTAATATATGTAAAAGATTTTGATCTTTTAGTTGTGATGATTTGCCACAATTTTAGAGGAAATTTAATGTTCTTAATAAAGAGAATTGCTAGTTTTTCAATTAACATACATGCTGATTGGTATATAAAACTAGGGAATTAGCAAAAAGTTGGTTCTTTATATTATAAAATTCTTATCACCTAGGCAACTAAGCTACTAGGTGCCCCAGTATTGCCCAAAATCGCCTATAGAGCTGTAAATCGGGTTGTGCCACCCACCCAGGGCCCAGCATGACAGCACACGGGCCGTGCCAGGCATGACACAGAGGTAATGGGTCGTGCCAGGCTTGGGTTTTCATGCCAACGGGCTGGCATGACAACGCAGGCAGTGCTGGCACGGGTCCATGACATAGCACAGCACAGCCTGCTGAACAGCCCAACCTAGCTCATATATACAAGTTCTTTTATTCTGCATATAAAAGAAGAAACAATTTCATTTTTTAATTTCAAAATTTTATCTTTTTTGTTAATTTATTTTAAAATTTTCATTTTTTTAAAATATACCTCTCATGGCTTGGCCTGGCCCAAGGCTCAGCCTGTGGAACTGTGTCATGGGCCATGTCTAAATTCACCTAGACACTTTGAAAACTATGATAGAGGACAACAATTTCTGGAGATATTACAGTATCCCAAAAGTTATTAAAATTTATAAAAGGAAGATTGAATGGCTCTTATTCATCAAAAAAAAAAGATTGAATGGCTCTGGATGCTGAAAGCTTCTAAATTGGTAGTCTCTAGATGTATGTTTTAAAACCATATGTTAGGTTTTTTTTCTGATTGGTTATCAAATGTTATTTTCTTTAGGGAGTTTTATATTTTTTAGGTCTATAGTTAGTAGTAAAACGATTTTCTTTTTGAGTCAACTACTAATTTGTTGAATTTCTATTTTCTGGGTTTCTATTCTTATGAGTTTAAGGGATTCTAATTAAGATTTAGGAGTCAGGTGCAGTTTTAGTAATTGCCAAATTTCTATTCTAGTCAAAGCTTTTTTACATATTTTAGTTAAAGCTTTGAGGTCTAATATAAACACGTAAATCTTTACAGAAAAAAAAAGAAGGAACAAATTATTTTTATTCTGTATACCTGCTCCTTTTTTCTCCTCTTGGAATCAATGTTGGAGAAACATATGATTTCCTTTCTCTTTGTTATTTTCTGGTAGTTCATTGCTACTAGAAGAAAAATAGCGACTGCTATTTGGATTTTACCCATATACAGAGCATACTTTGCTGGATGTTGAAGCAAGGCTATCCAACAACCTTGCCTTTTATCAACCGGCCCTAGATAAGTTTGCTTTATCAACAAAAATATGTATACGAGCTAATAGTAACACCACAAAATTCCGCATTCCTTTCAAAAAAAAAGCTGCTGACAAAATTTTATTGATAACAGCTTACCAAGTAACTTCATTGCCGCACAAAGTGTACCTCCAGTTGCTATCAAATCATCAACTACCAAAGCACAGTCACCAGGTTCAACTGCTCCGATGTGCATTTCAAGACAATCTGTTCCATATTCCAAGACATACTCTTCCGAAATAACCTCACCTACACATATACACAACTTGTGGATTCAACGAGAGCATAAGCAACTACACATTGCAATAATTCTGAAAGAATGGAACCAAGTCAAGGCAAACTTTTTCCAACTTGTACCAAGTTTTAGATTTTATCAAGTTATCGGTGTATAACTGGGTTTTTGTGTAACAAATATAAAAAAAATTCAGTTATGTCTTGTACAGGGCCATTATGGGGGTTGTAGTCTCAATCAAGAAACATTCTCCTCTCCTCAGACTATACACAAACAAATTAGGAAATGACTACCAATAAATCAACTGAGTGCCAGAATATCAGTCTGAAACCTTAAGGAGTTTCTTCGTCACTGCCAGTGATATCAGTAATACCAGGCACCCACCTTTGAATCCAAAGAAATCTACTTCATATATGGAGATTTTTCATACAAGTTTCTTACTTATCAAATGAATGTGAATATTTTCTGGGTTTTATTCTGGAAAATTAGTAGAAATTAGAAAATCAGTTAAAATGTTACTTGACCATAGATTCCTCTCCAGACTAACTTTACAAGAAATTGTGCATTTGATCCATGATATATTTTCTGTTCAAAGGAATCTGGTCTGGCTCAAATTATTGGAACATTATTGGTTTTGGGGAAAAATTTTCCTCATCATATTTTACCACCCACCTTATTTTTCCTTTTTATCAGTCTTGGAAATGGTCGGCTGCCTGCTGCTATTACTGACAGCAAAGAGATTTGATTGGGAGAAGGCATTTTGAGCCTAACCTTCATTATCACAAGGTTCAATTCTTTTCCAAGATTCATCTGCATGGGATAGATCAATTTTCTGGCTGATTTGTTGTCCAGGTGCAGTGAAAGTGTGTTCTTTTCCTCAAGACCATCTTTCATGGTCTGGACTGCATCCATCCATATGTACCTCACCTCACAAGAGATAAATTAACCAAGAAATGCATGGATATTCCATCAACAACATGCATATTTTGTACTTGTTAGATGGAGACAGCTAACAATATGTTTTTCAACTGTCCCTTTGCTCAGAAGTCAGACCTTTTTGCATATATTTGTAAACTTACAAGCTACAATTGGAGCTGTCCCAAATAGATGGTTGAAATGTTGACTGGGTAGAATTATCAAAAAAAAATGTTGACTGGGTAAAAAGTGAAGGGTTTATCCAAGAGAGGCAGGCTTTCTGGTACTACCATCATTAGTAAAAATTTGGACAATATTGAGGGAGAAAAACACAAGAATATTTATAGGAAAATCATCCACCAAGTTGAAGATTTTTAAGGGCTAATTGGTAATTAATTTGTTGGTTGTCGAAAAATCTTTTAGAGACATTCCTGACCAAGCATATTGATCAGGACTCAGGAGATACTTTGAGAGAAGATGACTGAGGAGCCATGGCAATTTCCATTTGCTTTTTGAGAGGTTTTTTCTCTTTGTATAGCTTCTGACTGTACATTAGATACACTTCGTAGTTTTCCTTTATAGCTCCTTTCCTCCTATTTCAAACAGTTAACAATAGAAAAAAGAAAGAAAGAAAGAAAAGGAAATAAAACAGAAAGAACCTAGCAATAAAGTAAATTCAATGTCTAGAATCCAGAAAAGGTATGCAATCACAAGAGATGCAAACTGTGATGTTTGTATTGATTTACATAGTTTTTCCTCATTGTTTGCAGATGTACTATTTATTGTTTCAAGGTTAGGTGTGTGACCTTTCAACCAAAAAATGGCATATTAAAAATGAATTTCCAGTTTTGCTCTACAGCAATTTTTGGTAATTGAAGAATAGCAGGCATCAGTTATTTGGTGCTACTACAACCAATGCCATCACATCCAGAAAAGGAAAGAAAAGGAGTGGATTAATTCAACATTCTAACAAAGAAAAAGTCGGCCTTGAGCAGAGTCTAATAAGGATACCATAGGATATATGTTAGGAACAAAAAGTAATAATGCATATAAACAGAATATATTTAGAGGTTATCCTCTACATGGTTGTCTAAATAAACAACATCAACAAAGAGTATAGCAAACCAGATGTTTTAGTCAAAGATAGATATATGAACAGTGTTGCATGGATCATGGATGCATACATGGGAATCAGAGTCCAATAAATGTCCATTGAGTCTGAGTGTCTGACTCGGCAACAAGAAAGAATAGACTCATGGATATGTCTGAAAAGTATATACAATTAGAATAGTTGATATGCTTTGAATTCTAACATTATATACCTACAAAACTAGGGTCTAAAATGTTGTCTTTCATACTGTGTAGCATTTAATATGAAAAATGGCATTCATCTTATACATTAATCATTCATTTATGTCAATAAGCAAATATATAAAAAGAAAATATTACATATAAGTTCCCCTCAAGAATCCTGAGTATTGGAACCTGTCGCACGTCCAGCAGACACATCATCCATTTAGGAAAATGAAAATCCATGCAACACTGGTTATAAGCAAGGTTCAAAATATCACAATGTGTCAGTGCATATCAACCAATATGTATTGGTTTTTTAACCCGCCAATACTCCAAATACATAAGGTATGTATGTTTCATTATTTGTATGGTAACTGTCATATTACACTTATTTTCAAATGGTCAAAAAATAATAAATATAGGGGTGAGTATCAATGCCTGAAAACGTGTATTTTTTTGTATCGTGCATCTTGATACTTTGGACCTTGGTTATAAACCATCCATGGCTATTAAATGATATTAGTATGTAACCCCTTAATTTACAAAACAAATGAATTTAAAAGAAAAAAAGGACACTCACAACAAAAATAAATGACAAACAGTATGAAATAAAGAAAAACAAATCCTCACGACACTACCATCAGAAAGCTATACAAAAGAAAGAAATATTATGAATGGAATACGTGAAATTTATCTTTCCTTGTGCAAAGCAGTTCCCTTGGAACAGAAATCTACAAAAAGAAGCTTGGATAGAGGTGCATCTCCATCTCTTTGCTAAATAGCTTAAGTTTGCCCAACAACTCTTTGCAATACAGCTCAACAGTCCACATATTAAAACCTTTAACACTTCATTCAAAAAGCAACATCTAACACAATGAAGGTGCATAGCTGATGAAGGGAATAGCACAATAGGTGGGTTGATGAAGTGAAGTCACATAGATGCATGAACTGAACCAATCAAGATTCAAGATAGATACTGGAGTGGAACCTCCACATAGCATCTGCAATGAAGCATGTAGTACCTCTCTGGGCATATTTCCAAGTTCATCAAACCATTTCGCAACTAAACCCCTCCACTTAACTAGACAAGGGTGCCCTGACTAAAGAAGAACCCCATATGGCTTAGAAAGATCAACTTTATCTTTGAAAAATATAGCCTTGTAATGGTAGGATAACAAAATTGCACAGGCAAATGCATGCATGCAATAGACACACAGATATAAACAAATTAGAATTGCAAATGAAGAATGAAGCCTACCAGGTAACTTTCTTGGTTTTCTCAAGGGAACAAACTTTGCCCCAATTGCCAATGCAATGGGAGGACCAAATATAAACCCCCGAGCTTCAATCCCTGGAAAAACAAAAGAAGACTCATAACTTAAGAATATGAAATTCTTCACAAAGTCAGAAATCAACTTTAAACATATAATATTGATAATGATCCAGGAAAAATGAAAACACACTCCATAATACAACAACACAACTAATGTCAAGTAGGCAACAGACCAGCATAAGAGAAATGCATAAAGCATATAGATTAGACATTTGACCGCTTTATGAATCCATTAAGCATTAAAGAAATTAAAAACTCAAAAATGAATTAACAAACCAAAATAGTGAGGGTAGTGGGAAAATACCCTTATTCAATGTTTGTCCCAATCATCTGTGGTCTTGGGAGTAGTGGGAAAAGAAAAGAGAAATTGTTTGACATCACTTTTAATCAATAATAGGGTCAAAAAACGAAAGTGGTAATTAGATGGACAAGGAGATCAGAAAATGGATTAACTGATACTTTGGCAAAGCAAGGAACCTGCAGGGACAATTTGTTTTCGGCTGTTTTGTAGTCTTGAAATAAATCTCTTCGGGTCAACACCCTTGTTTGGGTGGTGACAGTGTACTCCTTTAAATGTTTCATTAATGAATGTTACCGTTTCCAACAAAAAAATGAAAGTAGTGAATGGTAAAACAACAAGCAGCTTCATGCTTGGTGGCACTGCAGAACTACAGTGAGAAGACCAACAATAATATTAGAAAACAACAAGCAAATTGTAAGAAAAACTTAAGATCAGCATACGCTTCAGAAAAAAAAAAATGCAACAATGAGCCACTATCTCCTTTTCTTTCCCAAATAAATAAAAGTGATTTACATAATTATGTTTTTCATAAATAAAAGAAATATGTAAAAACAGCACTCTTCCCCATCAAACTAGAAAATGCTAATGCAATCAAGGCTGACATTGCAACCATTCATGAATGTCACAACAAAATACAAAAACTCCAAATAACTAGCCAACTAGATGCATACCCCAATGAACCAGATATCTTATTCCGTACATACAAAAGATTTGCCAAAATCATGTTGATTTTTTTATTGGTACAGAATCATAATGCTTCCACTCTGTGAGAAACAATCTCAGGACATAGTGTAACTTCATTGATAGAGATTTCCAGTTGATGAAAAATTTCAGAGTAGAAAAAAAAAAGAAAAAAAAAAGGAAACTCCATCATAAAGGACCTATAACAGGGTAAAGATTATCACCAACATACAACATTTTTTTCTTAAAATGTAGCTTTATAGTTTTATTCTTGCATGGGCGCACCAATTACTGCACTTTAGTCTTCATCAATTCCATTTGCCCAAACATTCCTAGACATGTGATATCTCCTTCAGTATTTCAGTTATTAATGAATTTAATGCTTAACATTTTTAGTCATTATTAAAGCAAAACCGTGGTCTTCTCTATCTTTTTTTCACTGCAGAACCATGTTCTTCACTATCAATTGAGCAAACAATTTTACCATCATCACCCAAACGGGCAAGGGGATTTTAATAATTGTAAAAAGTTGCAAAAGCACTCTTCCATCAAGTAGCCATGCATTGTGATTAAAAGTTCTTTCAGAGTTTGTTTATTCTATAACATCTAATGTTCAGTAGGTTGATCCAATCAAGTCTATCACATAATTGATTATAGAAAGCACCCTATTGTATTCAATTACAGTATAGATCTTTGAAACCTTGAATGATAAATTGATAATATTAGAAACAAATCTTCACTGCAAGCAGCAGTAGAATCAAAATAGCGATCTAAAAGAAAGGACAACAAAGAAATAAAAGAAATGAATCTGTGAACCAAGTCATCCAACGGTGCACAGTGACAAATCCAAACTGAGTGGAGACAAAAATAATAAAAAAAAATTCCCTTGGAAATTTACATCTAGTGGGTCCACTAAATTTGTGGTGGACATCCACCACCGACCATCAAACATGGAAACAATATAGGAAAACAGTTCCACAGAGAGTATTATGAGGCATCAGAAATACTCGATAACACTGCCCACTAACAGAACTGATAATCAAACACGACCACTCAATGCTATACTCACTGCCCAAAAGTTATTGAAAAGAAACCACAAAAAGCACTCTAAAAGACAAGCAGAAACTTCTGCAATCGCGGTGATTAAAAAAGAAAGCATTTTCTGTTTCTCGACATACTTCCTCCGATACACGGACCCACCAACCTTTGAAAACATTAATCAAAGAAAAAAAAAAGGAACAACTTTTAAGCGTTAAAGCAAAACCACCAAGCATTCACTGATCAAATCCAACTACCCAATGTATATAATTATACACTTAAAAAATTCAGAGAGAAGGGAAAAACAAGACGATCTTTTTACCTGCTACTACCGAAATATTTTTCCCTTTGTATCGCTCAACGAACAAATCGACCGTGTCTTTGAACGCCTTAGGATCAAGTAGCAAAGTCGTAATGTCTTGAAACATAATCCCTGCCATTTACTGCCATTAATGAACAAGAAATAGAACACATGAAATAGCTGGTAAGAGAAAGACAAAGTCTTCGTTCCACCATTCACTCTGAATAAAAGAAACAAGCAAGAAAGTAATAAGAAGGAAGAAGGCGAAGAGCAAAATCGGAACGAAGAGAAATCTGATGAAGTCTCCGATTGAAATTCATGGATGATCATCAGAAGGAAAACGAAATGAAAAAAGTGTGGGAAACCTGATTTGGGGAAATTGGGAACGACTCGAATTCTAGTTTTGATGTTACTAATACGTGGATCTTCGTCCTTGCAAGCCGACATTGTAGATGCAACAGAGAAAAGCAGCAAGAGCTCCTTCCTTCTCTCTCACACACTCTCTCTTGTGTCTCAGTTAAAAAGATACCGAACAACAGAATATCTCCGAGACCAAAGCAAGAGAGAGAGAGAGAGATTAGAACAAAAAACGTAGGAAGGAGGAGAAGTAGAGAGAAAGTAAGGGGTATTTATAAGAAGTGTTTGGTAAGGGCTCGCTGCACGAGAGAGAGAAAGAGAGAAGAAAGATGTAGAGAGACAGAAAGACACAGAAAAAATCGTCTCGAGAAGTAGAGGATCCAAAGAGACGAATTCACAGAGGTGCTCTGCTCTGCTCTGCTCTGCTCTCTTTCTCTCTCTCTCTCTCTGTCTCACTCTCTCTCACTCACTCTCTCTCTCTCTCTCTCTCTCCTCTGTAAAAATGGTGTTTTGTTTGTGGTGCTGTATTTGTTTTGAGAGAGAGAGAGAGAGAGAGAGCAGGGTTGGGCCGTTACAAATGCAGTGTAACAAGTGGTGGACGATAAGACTCAGCACCATCGGATCTCTAAATCCAAGGGCCTATAATAAACTCCATAAATAAAATAAGGACATGGGCGGGGCCAGGGTGGTTTTGATTTGGTGTACAATCCAATGTGGATTTTATTCTTTAAAAAGACCCAACAAGAACCAAAGAGATTATCTCAATTCTCAACTCAAAGCATATTTATTTATTAAATGGGATTTTTAATGTTTTTATTTTTGAGGTATTATGGGGTTTTAAATTTAATTAATCTTACCTTTTAATCATCCTCCAATCTCCATACTTGTTTGTTTGTTCGTTTGTCGTCTTCTCGTATTACCCAACTTTTGGAGTTTACGGTTTTGGCGCGCTACATGACTGAGTACTCACTCACATTCACCGGCCCAAGCCCAAACATGCACTCCTGGCTCCCGCGCTTGGTTTAGGCCGGCCATCATAGGAGCGCTCTCATGGACCAAGTAACCCTAAACGCTAGTACACCAGGGTCGGTCTCGGGGGAGACCTGGCCCCTGGGCTGGGATCGCAGCTTAGTACACTATCAAGTATCAACTGGTTGGTGACTCCTGGCTCGGTTCGTAGGATCGCAGCTTAGGGGGGCCACGACCACGATAGTGGGGGTCATGAACTCATCATGATCAAGGGTTTATCAATTAATTATCTATCACTAGCAGTATCACCACAGAAAATTTGAGAACTCATATTAGTATTCTTGGGAAGACTTCTTTTACCTCGTAGCAATGGAGCAGCCATGAGTCATAAACATGCCAGTCTGCTCGTGCCATGCAATACTACTTGGTGATAGCGCTCTCGTTCCAGCCAATGAGTGAGAGTGAGATAATTAAAAGCCTTGTAGTTTTTTTTTCTTGTTTTTGAAACTTTGGAATAAAAACATAAATATTTTTTTAAGTATTACATATTATAGTATCCATCAAAGGAGTGGTAAGTCAAGAGTAACTGACCTTATCAATGAAAGCCCACACTGAAAGGCCATCTTATCTTATATATTAAGGGTGTATTTTATAGTGTGAATGAAAAATTGGTGGATATGGATTAATTCACACCATACTCTGTAGTAAGGACCAATTTATATCATATCGCAATATATATCTATTGACAAACACCCATAATGATGTTCTATAGGCCAGGTGTTGATTAGTCCACACCATAGTTTTTTATTCCATGTATCTCATATATAGTTTATGAAATAATTTGCATAGTCATTTATTTTTTATAATTTATATGATAAACAAATTGAAAAAAAAAAGTTTTGGCAATTGAATATTAACTAAAAAACTATTAATTTCAACAAAATGGTAATAAAATAATTTTAAAAATTATTATTTATTGATAAAAATAGAAAAATAATATTTAAACAAATGAAATAACAAATTATTGCAAGATAAGCATAACATCAAATTATTTATGAAAATTAATAATCCATTGGTTCTTGTACTAGTTGTGGAGAATGCCCAAAGAAGAGCTTTGGTGGAGGAAACTTCTTTTTGTGGCGGAGTACAACGGCAGAGGAGAGCTTCGACGATGGAGAATGCTAGGTAATGTTCAACAATAAAATGTTGTAGGGGTTTGGGAGGATGCATATGATGCACAATATTAAAAAATTGATTGTGGACCGACCCCTTCCACGATAAATTAGTATTGCTGATATTCTGGGGTGTGAAAAGGGCCAGTCCACGATATAGCGTGGACCGATCCCATCCACACCCAAAGAACAACATGTTCACCCCATGGCGTGGACCGGAACAATCCATCCTCGAGATAAACACACTTCCAAACATTGCCTAAATCATTAGAAATATAAATCAATTTAAGTCCGAAAATATGGGGATCCAACAAAAAATATCAAAGAGATTTATCTTTTTTCATGTCTCTTAGATCTTCATCTTAATAGCAAGAAGGCTTTTAAAAAGTGATAACTGCAAATGGTTGGAGCTCAAAAACCATTTGAAGACACTATGAGGTAGGGGTGTCAGTTGGACCAGATATGATTCAATCCAATCGGATCCAATATGGATCCATTGCAAATGGACCAGGTTCAATATAGTCCGATGAATATTCTGGACCATTTTGGATCAATCCAATTCAATGTCTGGACCACTCAATCTGTTCAAATTTGTTTTAATTTAGATTGGTTCCAATCCAAACCTGGGCCATTGACACTTGTATTCTTATCTTCTTTTGATGGACTAGATATTGGTTGAATCCAACTTAACCCAATATAAGACCAGGTCCAATCCAATCTAATAAATACTTTGGACCAATTAAGTCTGCACCGGTCAAATTCAATATATCTGGTCCATCCAATCTATCTAAATCGATTTTGATTTGAACAGTGCCAAGCCCAAAAAGAAGTCCATTAACACCCCTAATCGGACTCGGAGGTAACCATGTAAAATGTGGATCCTACTGTGTCTTTTATCGCCTTGTACATGTGCAATATGATGCTATCTTTGTCCAGACATCTAAAAACAAATGACCATCAATCATGTCTGGATGGGTGCCAAAATCGAGCTGGTTGAAGATCTTGTGGCTTGTAAAGGCTAAAGGGAAGGTGGGGAGAGGGACAAAACAAGTGAAGCTCCCTGTAGAAATCATGTTATGACACAAAGGATTTATAATTTGCAGTGGCAAACACAGGAGGGCCTTAGGTTGCCACTCACAAAAGGGTGGACAGCTAGCTACCTGGCTAGGTTCAGCCTTAGGGAAACTATGACCACTAAAACTGAATATCAAAGGAATTCCTTTTGGTTTTTCAAATACACCAACTAATTTGTGCAATTCATTCAAAAAGGAAGTCTTGCGTCATTGAAATTTTTCTTTTCCTCATTTCTGATGGGGTGACCCTTTTTTAGGGTTTCCCACAGCATCATACACAGTAAGAACAAATACAATAATTTGATCAACCTTTTTTTTTTTTTCTTTTTCTTTTAACGTGAGATGTAAGCTCTTTGTTATTTGCTTAATCTCAACAAAGGCACAGCCTAGAGGCATTTAGGTCGAATAATTCCACAAAGGAATTATTTCATGGACACAAGGAACAGCGTCGGTAGGGTGCCGTTTTTTCCCTTGTGGGACATGAACTCGATTTTCATTTGAAACTACTAACCTTTCTTTTATTCATGCGTAAAAAAGAAAAAAAAATCTTTCTTCTTTTCTTTATAATAATTAATAATTGCTCAATTACAAAAAACTATATATATCCAAACCGTGAATGAAATGTGGATACGCCATAATATTGCAAAACCCAACTTGGAGGTTATATTCGTTTAAAAAATTCACAAATTGGTATGACTTTTGGAATTTAGTAATTTCTCTGAGTCATCTCTGATTTTCATTTTATGGGGATAATTACAAAACTTGGTAAGGATGAGCAAATGGGTTTTAAGCATTTAAGGTGGTTGTCAGCAGTGGTCTCTTAAATTCACCACACTTTTTATGAATTCTCTTAAATTCATCATCTTATCATTTTACCCTTCATAGAAAAATAGAAAATATATACTTATATATTTTAATATTTTAACTACAAAAACATGAAAAAAAGGAAAATGTTCAAAAATTATTTTCAAATATAAAATACATAAAAATACAGAAATTACAAAAAAATATATAGAAATTGAAAACAAAGCAGAAAATAAAAATTGTAGAAAAACACCTAAAATTATAGAAAAACACAGAGATTGAAAATAAATAACAAAAAATACAGAAAAATTTATCGATTGTAGAAAATAAAAAAAATGTAAAAAACAGAAATTAGACAAAGAAAACATTGAAAATTATAACAAAACACTAAAAATGCAAAAAAAACAAGAAAATTGAAAACTGAAAAAGACAAAAGAAACTCAAAAAATATAAAGATTGGATAAAAACAGAAATTGCAAATATACATAAAATGATAAAAATTCAAAAATTATATATTACAGAAAAAAAAGTGAAAATTGTAAAAAAATACAAGAAAGTGATAAAATTTTCAAAATGATAATAAAAGCCTACACAAAAATACATAAAATGATCAGAATTTAAAAATATCAACTAAAAAAGCAAAAATTAAAAGAAAACGATTTTTTAATTATATATTTTAGAAAAAATAAAAAACTACCAACAAACTAATAAAATGATAATTTTTTTCAAAAAATAAACAAAAATTAGACATGGAATCTAAAGATTGTTGCAACAAATTTTCAAAAAATCCTTCAGACAATCAGATAAATAATTACAAAAATATTTTTTGCATTAATTTGTAGAACTCTCAATGGGGATTTATATTCTAGATTCAAAAGAATACATTGCAAATGTTTCAAAACATCAAAAATCTTTAAAATTTATGATCGTATTCTTTCAAATCTTCAAACAATAGATGTGTGGTAGCGGCCTTCAAACAAGAGATAGAGAGAGGGTGGTGCAGTGGCTATCTTCAAGATCTAAGCAAGAGAGAAGGTGCAACGGCAGCAACAAGATTTGAAGAGGGCGTTGCGGCTACCTTCAAGAACGAGAGAGAAGGTGCTATGGTGACAGCAAGATCTGAGCAAGAGAGAGGGTGATGCAGTGATTACCTTCAAGATCTGAGAGAGAGAGAGAGAGAGAGAGAGAGAGAGAGAGAATTTCAATCTAACCCTACCCCTAACTCGCCATTCAAGGGTAATTTGATCATAAAAAGTGTTATTTATGCTGACATGGCCATTTATGTTAAGAAATATTAACAGTGCACTAATGGAAGGTGAGTTTTGAAAAATAAAACTCACTGATATGGGATTTCCTGGTGAATTTAAGAGAATTCATAAGATGGTGGGTTTTGGACAATTTCCCTTTAAAGTTTAATTCCTCTATCTACCCATCATCAATTGGGGGAACCCACACTCAATGTGAGTACAAAGCAAGCAGGTCGATTTCATGAGTAGCTTTATAATAAAAGTGACATTTTCTTTAACTA